AAGTCGTTCACTGTAGTTCCCACCCCTTAAACAGTCTGCTATCAGTAGTGGAGTCCAGTATCAGGGGGATGCTGATAATCGTGCACACCAACCCCTCACTAGGTACTTGGATACCGGTCCAAGCTGTGATACTGCTCGCAGTAGGCTGAAGATTTTCCAAATTTCAGTTTTTAGTTATCATGAATGTATTTAGTAACACAGTAGCTGGCACAACGCTGCGAGTAATGATAGATTTGGTTCTGCTTCACAAACTAAGTAAGCATGACGTCATTAGACACACAACACTAACAAAAACCTTACAGAAAGGTTTAGCTTTCATCTGCTGTGCAATCCAGTCCTGCTTTTCCTTGCTGGTGATTTCCACTAGCCTAGCACCGAGTGTGTGGCAAAAGGACTAGGAGATAAAATACAAGTAAATTGAACGTGTTAGATTTAGGAAAGAAATCTGTGTTTTTTAGTCTAATAGAACAGACAACAAGAGTTTTTTAAATATATTGCTGCAAATGTGTGTATGTGTGTATATTTGGGGTACTGATAAGGCACAGTTCTGACTGTAAACTAGGGGGGGGGGGGTAGTCAGGGGGTAGGGTTTCAACTATGGGCGTATCCTTTGTGCTGTATGGAAAACTTAACTCATAACAGACTCACAAGGTGTTCATCTCCCACTGCGTATGTCTATGTAAATCTTGTGTCTGTGAGAGTGTTGCGACTGTGTGAGCTTTGTGTTTGTGAGAGCGTTGTCTTTGTACGAGTGTTGTGTTTGTAAGTGTGTTGTGTTTGTAAAAGTGTTGTGTTGTAAAAGTGTTGTGTTTGTGAGAGTGTTGTGTCTGTGTGAGTGTTGTGTTTGTGAGAGTGATGTGTTTGTGAGAGTGTTGTGTTTGTGAGAGTGTTGTGTTTGTGAGAATGTTGTGTTTGTGAGAGTGTTGTGTCTGTGTGAGTGTTGTGTTTGTGAGAGTGTTGTGTTTGTGAGAATGTTGTGTTTGTAAAAGCATTGTATCTGCGTGTGTTCTGTCTGCGTTAGTCTTGTGTCTGTGTGAGTGCTGTGTCTGCGTAAGTGTTGTGTTTGTGAGAGTGATGTGTCTGTGTGACTGTTGTGACTAAGTAAGTGTTGTGTCTGTGTGAGTGTTGTGTCTGTGTGAGTGTTGTGTCTTTGTAAGTGTTGTTTCTGTGTGAGTGGTGTGTATGTGTTGTGTCTGTGTGAGTTTTGTGTCTGTGTGAGTTGTGTGTCTGTGTGAGTGTTGTGTCTGTGTGAGTGTTGTTTTTGTGAGAGTGTTGTGTCTGTGTGAGTGTTGTGTCAGTGTGAGTGGTGTGTCTGTGTGAGTGTTGTGTCTGTGTGAGTGTTGTGTATGTGTGAGTGTTGTGTCTGTGAGAGTGTTGTGTCTGTGTGAGTGTTGTGTATGTGTGAGTTTTGTTTCTATATAAGTGTTGTGCCTGCGTGAGTGTTGTGCTTGTGTAGGTGTTGTGTCTGTGAGAGTGCTGTGTCTGTGTGAGTGTTGTGTCTGTGTGAGTGTTGTGTCAGCGTGAGAGTTGTGTTTGTGTAAATGTTGTGTCTGTGTGAGTGTTGTGTCTGTGTGAGTGTTGTGTCTGCGTGTGATGTGTCTGCGTAAGTGTTGTGTCTGTGTGAGTATTGTGTCTATGCGAGTGTTGCGTCTATGTGAGTGTTGTGTCTGTATGAGTGTTGTGTCTGTGTGAGTGTTGTGTCTGTGTGAGTGTTGTGTCTATGTGAGTGTTGTGTCTGTGTGAGTGTTGTGTCTGTGTAAGTGTTGTGTCTGTGTGAGTGTTGAGTTTGTGAGAGTGTTGTGTCTGTGTGAGTGTTGTGTTTGTGAGAGTGTTGTGTCTGTATGAGTGTTGTGTCTGTGTGAGTGTTGTGTCTGTGTAAGTGTTGTGTCTGTGTGAGTGTTGAGTTTGTGAGAGTGTTGTGTCTGTGTGAGTGTTGTGTTTGTGAGAGTGTTGTGTCTGTGTGAGTATTGTGTCTATGCGAGTGTTGTGTCTATGTGAGTGTTGTGTCTGTATGAGTGTTGTGTCTGTGTGAGTGTTGTGTCTGTGTGAGTGTTGTGTCTGTGTGAGTGTTGTGTTTTTGAGAGTGTTTTGTTTGTGTGCGTTTTGTGTCTGTGTGAGTGTTGTGTCTGTGTGAGTGTTGTGTCTGTGTAAGTGTTGTGTCTGTGTGAGTGTTGAGTTTGTGAGAGTGTTGTGTCTGTGTGAGTGTTGTGTTTGTGAGAGTGTTGTGTCTGTATGAGTGTTGTGTCTGTGTGAGTGTTGTGTCTGTGTAAGTGTTGTGTCTGTGTGAGTGTTGAGTTTGTGAGAGTGTTGTGTCTGTGTGAGTGTTGTGTTTGTGAGAGTGTTGTGTCTGTGTGAGTATTGTGTCTATGCGAGTGTTGTGTCTATGTGAGTGTTGTGTCTGTATGAGTGTTGTGTCTGTGTGAGTGTTGTGTCTGTGTGAGTGTTGTGTCTGTGTGAGTGTTGTGTTTTTGAGAGTGTTTTGTTTGTGTGCGTTTTGTGTCTGTGTGAGTATTGTGTCTGTGTGAGTGTTGTGTCTGCGTGAGTGTTGTTTCCGTGAATGTGTATGTGTGTAGTGTGTGTATGCATGTGTTGTGACTATGGTTGTTAGTATGTATGTATGTATGTGTTGTGTGTATGCATGTTTTGTATCTGTAACTGTGTGTATGTCTGTATATGCTACAACGGTGTGTATGTGTGTGCTTGTTGTGTATGCGTGTGTAGTGTGTATGCTTCGCTTGTTTTTCTGGTTTTGTTTGCGTTATGTATGTGTGTATTTTTGAATCTACATTTGAAGGTTTATATTTGTCATCCATGCCTTTGTAGTTTTAGCTTTGATGTTTACCATGAAACTTGATTAATTAACATAAAATGTTTGCAATCTCTTTCTTCTTTGTGTTCACCAGCTGTTGGTTTAGGATAAAATATCTTGTTGGTCGTCTACTCGGACTTTAGTCTTGTTCCAGAAGTGAGTTTAGCATGTACATCTCTTTTTAGATCAGTCTTATTTGTGTGCAAACTGTTGTTACTTGCCTCTTCTCAGGCAGATGCACTCCTGCTTCAAAGGAGACCCTAGTTGGTCGACTGCTATTACGACATGTTTGTTAGGGAGGTCATGGATCTATGACACCCCTCCAACCCAAGGAAATAAAAGTCGCTTGGCTCGTTCTTTGTTTCAGGGCGATGTTGTCAATAATAAAGAGAACACTTACAGCTGCTGTAATCCACGATACAGGTTCTGGGTTGAAGGAAAAGCATAAATCGCCAAACTGAGGCCATCCTATTGGGCAGTCGGCTAGAGCTGAAATACAATGAAGAAACGACAATCCTGTCATGTAACTTTTCCACAAGGAAAACTAGAGTAATCAGCTATTTTCTCATCATTGGCGTATTGGCTAAATGGCGTAGGACTTTTCTGTTGATATCGGCATTTGAAATGTGATCCTGTCAACATCCTAACTGTCGCCTTTACTTTCCAGGATATTTTGCTGTACCTTTTTAAGCTTAGTCGTCTTCAGAACCAAGGAAAATGATGTACATAAAATAAAATAAATTCAAGAATAAGTATATATATATGTATGTGTGTGTGTGTCCAGACTTCCGTATAGATCATTACTTACAAGATACAGAAAAATGGCAAAAAAAAAAAAAAGGACCTGATGATAAGGAGGAGCAGGGTGAGAATCACCAGGCAGGCGGTGTAAGGGGAATCAAGTGGATTGAGGCGCTGTGTAGGTTCTTGGTCCCCCTGTCGTAGTGATAATTATGATGGTGGTGGTTGGAGGATAGTTGTGGTGGTTAGGAGTTGAGGTGGGTGGAGGGGCTAAAATACTCACTGCCCGTTAACAAGCATGTCGTAACAGTAGACAGATTAGCGGTGTTTTCATCGAAGTTGGAGTGCATCTGCCTGAGAGGCGGGGAATTAGCCGTCTGTAGACAAATAAACCAGATCTGTAAAACAGATCTGCAAGTAAAACTCAGGTTCTGCAGCGTGACCACATTCCACAAATAGACAAACAAACTTAAGCTTTTGCTGCAGTTTTCAGCTGGTGAACACCAGAAAGAAAAAAGGGATTGATTAAACGAGGATGTCCTTGAACAAACTGCGATCAGTTGCATAGTGGGTAGCACTCACTAGAGTTATTCCTTGTTACAGTAAGTATTTGGGCATGTTATGCTACACCAATATTTCCTTGATCAGCCGATTCTCGGTGGGTGATGCTTTCAACATCAGACCGACCGTCTTTACTTTCCCTAACTTTACCTCACACCTATTTAAGGCTGGGTCAATCTGCGAGCCAACGTAATTTAAACACAAAAGACCGGCTCAATTTCGATATATACCTGCGACCGTCAGATCGGCGGCTGCCTGCATCATTAATATCATCAAACCATCTTCTAGCTTTCACTTCAGATCTTCTCAGGCAAAGCGCATTCTAATCAGATGACCAAACGGTTTAATCTTCTCAATGAATCTATTGTACGGTATTGTCCCCAGAGTCTGTCTGATAATATCATGTCTCACTCAGAAACTGATGGTTAGGTAAACAGCTCCCTGAGGCATCTCATCGCATATGGCATCACTCTTGAGCAATGTCAGTTGAACGAGTACATTCCCTATGGCTTTTATCACTTTGGTTTGGCTTTACACAAGCTAATATCAATGCTATAGGCACTAGGCTGGCAAACACTGATGCTTACACAGTTGCATAACCAGAGGGTTAAGCTGGGTGAAGCAAGTCGTTGCGAACGAAATGGCGGAGTAAGTAATGGCAAACTACTGAAAGTAAAATTTGCCCAGAAAAGCCGCAACAGCATAAGGTCCATAAATACTTGAGTGTGCGAGGGACTGGTTACTGGCGGTCGACATGCCTGGTTTCGAAAAGTACATAGAATGAATCCGGAAGACCGGCCTGAGACCTGACACAGCCTGAACTCTAGAGAAAAACACCAGATCATCCTGAATGAACTGACCGTTCTGTCCGAGTGGTGGATGGAAGAAAATCACCTGCACAAGCTCGGAAAGTACGCTGACCTCGTGGTCGGTCGGAGGAGAGACGAAGAGTACGCAGTAAAAATCTTCGCCGTGGAGGTAGGCGCAAGATGTCTTATTTCCACTTCCACAAACAATGTGCTAAAGCAGCTGCGCTTGCGAGGAAACAAGCCTAAACGGTCTCTAAAACGACTTGACGAAGCTGCTGATAGGACTTTGACATGGCTCTAGACACAAGGAAACACTTTTTTGTTTTAGCCCAGCCTGGGTAGACTGGTCTAGCGGAAAAGAGCTTCTTATTCCTTAAAGGGCAAAGTGCCCGATAAATGTCTGCCAGTATCTCTATACCAATTGCCAAAGTCTAACGTCCGAACCAACCATAAGCTTGTCATTCTGGTCGTGAAGGTAAGGGAGTCAGTTTGCTACCGCAGTGACACACACACACACACACACACACACACATATATATATATATATATATATATATATATATATATATATATATATATATATATATATATATATATATAACACTAAATCTCACACTACCTGTACTGTTTTCAGTACTTTTTTGAAAAGAAAAAAAAAAGAATTTTTAAACTATAAATGGTGGTCCAAAGGACGTTTTGTGGAAAAGCTCGCTCTCCTACGAGATACGCCTGGCCAAATCAGAGAGATTACACCAAGAGGAGACACCGGATAAAAAGAGGAAATAAACGAACTCCAACAGGGTGCAGGACGAGTGGTCGGAATCGGATGGAAGCATCAAGCCCAGAAATGGCGCAATACTAGAATGTAGTCACGAAAGTGACACAAATAACCCAGACCAAAAATATAGGCGGAGACTGTTATCAGCCTCGGCTAGCTAGCAGCAGTCTGAAAGTGGTCGACCTTTGCATTTTTTTCTTAAAAGGACTTGGACTTGGACACTACCTGTTGCAAAGTAACCTATTCGTCTTGTCTCTGTCCAATTTAACAGCAGGAGTACCGGCGTCTGGCGTCATGAACAAGGCCGGCCCGCCCTCTGAAGTTGTCTAGGATATCAGGCCGCAACGATTTGAGACGAGAGACCATCCTACTAATGATCAGTAGCTGCCCCTGCTGCGATTGCTCCCATGTGGAGTTTTTCTAATTCTTATGCCTCTGTATAATCCAGTGTAAATAGATTTTAGTTCTTTTGTTCTAAGATTTTCTTAGCGGGTATCACTGCTAGTGATTCAGTCATACCAGTCTATTCCCTCAGCTTTGAACATACACCACTTAACACTCAAGATGGGTATATTTTACTGATATCTAAAATGTTGTTTTTTCTTTAAAAAAAAAAACACCAAATTATTATTGAAAAACACAACATACCTGAAGGGACAATCATGGCCAGACATAGAACAACTTTCAGCTTTAAAGAAAATACAAAAGCAACCTATCAGTACATATTGCTTATTAGAACTGTTTATATTTATACAGGATTTACATTTACATCATATAATTTATTTTTTTACAATTACAATTTATAGTACATATTTCTCACTATAATTCAGCATATTAACAACATTTTAAATGTTTAGCATATGATATTTTAACGTTACCAGCTTTTCAGGACAGCATCATCATCATGTAGCAGGTCCTTTGCAGAACGTCGTTCTCATCACAGTCTGCCTGAAAGAAACTCGGTCTCTTGCCAGTTCTCCCGCCTCATGAAATTTCACACTCAAGGAGTCACTTATGTCCTGTGCCCATCTTCGTGTCGGTCGGCCCCTGCCCCTTCTTCCTGGTACCGTGCCTTCTCCTATAACTTGTTCCAATCTGTCGTGGCGCTTGATATGACCAAATATTTCAGCTTTCGAGAAAGGATGCTGTTTATTAGCCAATCCTCCCTGATGTTTAGATCTTTTAAGATGTCAATATTTCTCATCTTCTTTATCCAAGATATTCTGAGAATCTTTCTATAGCATTTCAGCTCAAAAGCCCCTATTCTCTTTCTTAAGGACTGAGAGATAGTCCACGACTCACATCCGTATGTAGCCACAGGGAAGATGCATGCTCTCAAAATTCAAATTTTTATCTTCTTGCTGGTGCTTAACCATAGACTTTTAAGGCTGTTCAATCTTTGCATTGCTATGGCCATTCTCCTTTTAATTTCTGTCGAACAGTCTCCATTGTTGTTTATTATAGAGCCTAGAAATTCAAAGTTTGTGACATTTTCAATTTCTTCATCATTTATTGTTATTTTTGGGTGACATCCAGTTTTATTTGTGGACTTTATTTTTGTTTTCTTAAAATTCAAGAACAGATTTTGATCTTCATTGTGCTTTTGGACGGACAATGTTAATTTTTTTTCCCTTTACGCTGTTCGAAAGGAGGACCGTGTCATCTGCGTAGCGGAGTTCCGAAATAGGGTTGCCACCAATTTTGAGCTGTTCATAACTGTCACAAGTCTGATCATTTTTGACATTTCTCATTATATTTTCTGCGTATATATTGAAAAGGGATGGTGAGAGAATGCACCCCTGCCTCACCCCCTTTTGCACCTCGAACCAATCAGATGTTTCACCAGCTGCTCAGATGGCTGCTTGTTGTTCATGATAGAGATTTGCAATTAAATGCACTAAATGCGCTGGAAACCCCATACTTTTCATAATAGTCCACAGTTGGTGGTGCTGGACACAATCAAATTGATGTATGTTCCAAGTTTAATGGAACGCCACCGTGGTGTTTGACTGTCACTGTTCTGTAGAAATCAGCGTAAAGCAGTCTGCTACCAAATTACCTACATCTGACTAAATTCTGTGACTGGGTCGGCTAAAAATGTCATGCAAATAAAAATAAGTAATTGAAGAGCTACGAGGTATGGTCAAAATATATTGTTTCGTAATTGCTAATTATATTCAATAGGTATGAAAATATAAAATTCACAGTTAAATATCGCCCCAAATTTCAAAAATGTATTTTTTCATTTAGTAGCAGTTTTTTTTTTTAATGGCATAGACCTCAACAAGGTAAAAACAAATGTGTCGTTTTTCCGAAACCTTTGACGTATTCAAGGATTGACCTTCTGCAGCTTTGTCACAACGATGTATCCAGCATCTGACAGTGCCAACACCCAGTGTCTTTCATAGATGTCAATTGGGGTCCCGCCTTCAGCGCTGAGGAATTCTATGACATTATGTTTTTTTAGCTGAACATCCTTGGAAACCATTACAATTGGGCTACTGCCAGTTCCCCTGACATTCCTTGGTACCGTGTCCTAGCAAAGGCAAAGCCAAATGGCAACAGCTTTCATCAGTCGGAAGACTCTTCGCTGACTGTTGAGGAGGGAGGCGGAATTAATATGAATAATGTGATGTCCAATCTTTACCTGAATGAACCCAGAAGAACCATTTCAGGCTGGCTGAAAATGAGAGACAAAGAAATTATACTTAAAAACCCAACAAATAAGGTGCAGGTTCGAAACAAAGAAATAAAAAGAACATACAAAAATCTAACGTTCGAAGGTGTATACTAGGAACATACAAATAGCTAACGTTCGATGGTGTATACTAGGAACATACAAATAGCTAACGTTCGATGGTGTATACTAAGAACCTACCATTTTTAGAAAGGTCTTGCTTTTTCTCAAAAAGACTCACAAACTGGCCGACTCAGCGTGCGACTACACATGAATCGGATAAATAAATGGAAATATCGTCCGTTTATACATGTTCGTTTGATAGTTGCAATAGTGTTTTGGAAACAATCATGATTCATATCATTCACATTATTATGATAATGTATGTGATGTACTGTCAGATTATAGCACCTGCTGCTGTTAATGCTTGTTAACTAATATTAGATATACGATCAACAGTGACATCATATGTAAAAGAACCGAACTAAATCTACTCCAGTTCAAGGTTTTCACAGGTTTAGGTCAAAACAACTTGACAGCAGGGGCCCCATAATATGAAATTTTGCTGTGGAGGTGGGGATGGGTGCAAGATACCTCAAATCAGAAACTATTGGGAAAAGGGAGGGAGAGGGATCCCATAAATACATAGTATTTGAGGGCAGGCATGCTGGCTATCTACAACCTTCTTCTTGTAGTCAATGTCATGTGGCCCTAATAGTAATGTGTTTACACAAACTTCTTTGTATAGTGCATGTTGTGTGGCGTAGGTAGACATGTCTGTCTACAAAATGTTGCTCATTGTCCATGTGGTATTGCCCTGGAAGTCATGTGTATGCTGAAACTTCTTCATACAGTCTATGCTGTGTGTCGTTGGTTGTCATGTCTGTTTACCAAACATTCTAGCTCGTTAATCTTCAGTCAGTTGATCTTTCATGACAAGCTGAAACCATCTTTTTTCTCTGTCTTCCTTCGTCTCTTTTCTCCTCAAACTTTGCTATTGTCACAAAGTACTCCAGTTTTCTCCTTCTAACGACACGACCAACTAATGTAGATTTACTTTTGAGGATGTGGGCATTCAGGTCAATTTATATCAAGCACATCGTGATTTCTGGGTATTCATCACACATGACATTTTCAACAACATGTACTGTGTTCAACAAGTTGCCTTTACTTCACATGCACCCATACAGGCTATGTCAGGCTGGAAGCCTCAGTAAGTCCCTTTACAGTTTCATGGGATGCAGACTCACACGTCTGTCAGTCAGTCACACAGGCAATTTCTGTTCACTTCACTGCTGCGACCTTCGTATGTTTGTGTACTTATAATTATACCTCTTTTTTCCGATGCGCAAATGAGCAGGGACAAAAAGAACAATGACCGAAAACACAAGCTCACGGTTGACACGTCCTAGACAAAATATGAAGTCACAAATCAACAATTATTCATTGTCGGGCACATTCACCCATTTCTAGTCTGAAATCTGCATGTATTGCCTCACAAATCCACCCATATCTAGTCTCAAATCAGCATATATTGCCTCACACATCCTCCCATATCTAGTCTGAAATCTGCATGTATTGCCCCACACATCCTCCCATATCTAGTCTGAAATCTGCATGTATTGCCTCACACATACACCCATATCTAGTCTAAAATCTGCATGTGTTGCCCCACAAATCCACTCATATCTAGTCTGAAATCAGCATATATTGCCTCACACATACACTCATATCTAGTATGAAATCAGCATGTGTTGCCTCACACATACACTCATATCTAGTCTGAAATCAGCATGTGTTGCCTCACACATACACTCATATCTAGTCTGAAATCTGCATGTATTGCCTCACACATCCACGTATATCTAGTCTGAAATCTGCATATATTGCCCCACACATACACCCATATCTAGTCTGAAATCTGCATGTATTGCCCCACACATCCTCCCATATCTAGTCTGAAATCTGCATGTATTGCCCCACACATCCTCCCATATCTAGTCTGAAATCTGCATGTATTGCCTCACACATACACTCATATCTCGTCTGAAATCTGCATGTATTGCCCCACACATCCTCCCATATCTAGTCTGAAATCTGCATGTATTGCCTCACACATACACCCATATCTAGTCTAAAATCTGCATGTGTTGCCCCACAAATCCACTCATATCTAGTCTGAAATCAGCATATATTGCCTCACACATACACTCATATCTAGTCTGAAATCAGCATGTGTTGCCTCACACATACACTCATTTCTAGTCTGAAATCAGCATGTGTTGCCTCACACATACACTCATATCTAGTCTGAAATCTGCATGTATTGCCTCACACATCCACGTATATCTAGTCTGAAATCTGCATATATTGCCCCACACATACACCCATATCTAGTCTGAAATCTGCATGTATTGCCCCACACATCCTCCCATATCTAGTCTGAAATCTGCATGTATTGCCCCACACATCCTCCCATATCTAGTCTGAAATCTGCATGTATTGCCTCACACATACACCCATATCTAGTCTGAAATCTGCATGTATTGCCCCACACATCCTCCCATATCTAGTCTGAAATCTGCATGTATTGCCCCACACATCCTCCCATATCTAGTCTGAAATCTGCATGTATTGCCTCACACATACACCCATATCTAGTCTGAAATCTGCATGTGTTGCCTCACACATACACTCATATCTAGTCTGAAATCAGCATGTGTTGCCTCACACATACACTCATATCTAGTCTGAAATCTGCATGTATTGCCTCACACATCCACGTATATCTAGTCTGAAATCTGCATATATTGCCTCACACATACACCCATATCTAGTCTGAAATCTGCATATATTGCCTCACACATACACCCATATCTAGTCTGAAATCTGCATGTATTGCCCCACACATCCTCCCATATCTAGTCTGAAATCTGCATGTATTGCCTCACACATACACCCATATCTAGTCTGAAATCTGCATGTATTGCCCCACACATCCTCCCATATCT